GTGAATCTTGAAGAGTTTCAGTAGGGGTAATGAATTAATTTTAATGATAGAAGACGTTTTTTAGTTCAATATACCACTTTATCGTTAAATAGTTTACAAACTCGAATTCACATCCGCATATACTTTGTTTGGAAAACAATTTTTAGTGGTAGTTACCCAGAAATTAAAACATCGGTATTTGTTTTATTTTCGTTGCAATTTTTCAAAATTTTCCTGGCCCGCAGAAACCCTGTATATATATATATATATATATGAAAGCGTTGACAATATTTTATTGAAATATCAGCAATAGTCTCTGTCATTTCCGTGCCACTAGGAAAAAACTGCTCTGAAATGAATAAAAGTTGGCAGGTATGCTGTAGTATATAAAGTTGTGCAAAAAAATAAGAAAAAATGTAATTTTATTTGCATTAAATGTTATAGGTTGTCTTTGAATTCTTCGTATGAGTTTTGAGGTATTACTATGAACTGATAGTTAAAATCTATTGAAAATCATAACTATTATAATGAAGAGTAAATATTAAAGTATCTAATAGGCTATTCTTTCGAAAGTGTTACATTTCTGTTCGTTGCCTCTGTCAGAGTTAACACTGACGATTTAAAACCAAAATTGTCATGACTAAAAAAATCCTAAACTTTATTAAAAGAGAATAAAAGTAGCAAAGTCTTCTGGTATATTTTTTTTAGTTTACTATTGAGAGTAAATTTATTGTTCGTTCGTTCGTTGTTGTAGAACTGGGCATCTGGGTAAATTTATTGAATGTTTATGATTTATTGAATAAATTTATTGAATGTTTAATTATGAATAAATGTGAAATGTAATTCATAGCGGTATTTACAATTGAATAAGTAAAAATACTGTAAATAAATAAAAAAAATGTATGAAGTTGATACTCCTTTTTAAATTTTTAGTCACCCGTGTCATCCTTTGTTCAACTAACTTTTTTATAAAATTTTACTAAAAATTTTAAATTTTATTTGCTTTATATTTAACAATAGAAGGTAATAGAAACGTTGCTTGGAGTAAATGTAGATGGAAGACGCTATTAAAATTATAGTGTATCAACTTTGTTAAGACAAGAATCAAGTAAGAATGCGAAAATTTTGCACATTAAATAAAATTGATCAGAAGAGTTAGTATAATCTTAGGTGGCAGGTATTGCTTTGGAAAAAAAAACAGTTGGATTTAGTGGGGTAAGACAACGTTCTCCAATCCCTGGGGCATGCACCGCTACTGGCACCCGGCAACCCAAGTTCCGGGAAACTCCTAAAGTCACAACAATACCGAGCATGTCATTGCTATTTCATATTGACTATAAAAGTCATGTTTAATTACAATTGAATTAAAAAAAATTTAAGAGGTAAGCAATTTATGCCCCCCCCCCCCCTACCTCAGCGGGAATAGGTCAAATAATCAAACGTCGTAGGTAGGAGAGAGTTGGCTTCAGACAGCTGCGCATTGCGTTATCTGTTAATTTTACAATTCACCACTCAACTTTTATGAGCAGTGACGCTGTAAAAGATTATGTCTAAATCATTTTCATTGTTTATCTAAAATTTATTTTCTTAAATATATATAAATCTTCATTTAAAAAATTATGTGGTGTTTATAATAGATTTTTTTTTTTATTTTATCGCATACTTGCTTCAGACCTGATATATTTTGAATACGAACGGCATGAGAAATGTTTTAAAGTGATAGCTTAATTTTAAAACGTATGCATACTTTGATTTAATAGATGTTGTTTGCACAGGCTAAAAGTACTTTCATTTTGTTTATCGTGATAGAAAATATTCAAATATGATTCTGTATGATTAAATTGAAAATTAACTTTATGAAATTTAGAGCAATAAGAAAAAGTTACTCGATATTCTTTAATTTTTCTAAGTTGTGGGTACCTTCTATTTTGTGAAGTATCCTAATGGGCACTAGAAAAAGTACATTAGTGAAAAGTGAAACCATATTAATATGGAGCATAATTTGTTAGTGGGCGAAAGACATACAGTAGTTTTTCTTTCTTTTTTTTTGCGTGTGTGTGTGTTTGTTTAGAACTGATGTTACATTGTAGTACAAATTTGTAACCTTCTAGGTAAATGTGACTCAGAATACACATACAGGGTTCCCGTAGACCTTGAAAAGTTTTAGTTGTGTTAGCAAATTTAGGTTAATGCTAGAAGATAATTTTTTATTTTAATATACCATTTAATCGTTAACCTGTTAGTGCCCAGCGTCATATTTATAGGACAGTTTCCTTTTTCAAAAATATAAATTGTGGTAGGACAATTGTTTCAATTTTGTCTTTTATCTAGGAGAATTAAAAGTTTCCCTTCCACCTTAATTTATTAGTGATTTAAGTTTCTATCACAAGATGTATAACTATAAGGTGCAGGGACATTTCGAACTGAAATGGTAACAAATAGTTGATATTAGACATTTAGTTGAATAACATATTATACCACTTTTTTCATAAAGCCACTTTTCGCACCACTTTAACATAAAACATCGAAATAAAACGGGTTAGTACCTCGAATTCACAAGTATATATACTTTATTTGGAAAAAAATCTTTAGTGGTAGTTACCCAGAAATTAAAACATCGGTATTTGTTTTATTTTCGTTAGCACTTTTTATAATTTTCAAGGCCCGCAGAATCCCTGTATAAATATTATAATGAAGACTAAATATTAAAGTATCTAATAGGCTAGTCTTTCGAAAGTGTAACATTTGTGTTCGTTGCCTCTATCAGATTTGGCACCGACGACTAAAAACCAAAATTGTCATGCCTAAAAAAAATCCAAAACTTTATTAAAAGAGAATAAAATTAGCAAAGTTTTCTGGTACATAATTTTCTCAGTTTACTATTGACAGTAAATTCAGTGAATTTGACTGTTGATGATGATGTGGGGGGGATCTCTGCTACTCGCTTTTATCCCCCTAAATTCAGTGAATGTTTATGCTTTAATTATGAATAATATGAAATGTAATTCATAGCGGTATTCACAATTGAATGAGCAAAAGAATTATAAATAAATAAAAAAAATGAATGGAGTTGATACCACTTCTTACATTTTTAGTCATCCCTGCTTTATTCAATTAATTTTTTAATAAAATTTTACATTTTATTCGTCTGATATGTTAACAGTAGAAGGTAATTATAAACGTGGCTTGGAGTAAATGAATATGGAAGAAGCGATGAAAATTATAGTGTATCAAATTTGTTAAGACAAGAATCAAGTAAGAATGCAAAAATTTTGCACATTAACTAAAATTGTCCAGAAAACTCAGAAGAGTTAGTATAATCTTCTGAGTGATAATGATCTAACGTGGCAGGTATAGCTTTGGAAGAAAAAACAGTCGGATTTAGTGGGGTAAGACAACGGTCTCCTATCCCCGGGACGCGAACCGGTACTGGTACCCGGCAACCCAAGGTCCCGAGAGGTTAACCGGGAACTGGGAGACTCCTAAAGCCACAACAATACCGAGCATGTTATTGCTATTTCATTTTATAGTCATGTTTAATTACAATTAATGTCCCCCTCCCCTCAGCGGGAATAGTTCAAGTAATCAAACGTCGTAGGTAGGAGAGAGTTGGCTTAAGAGTGCTGCGTATTGTGAAATCGTTTTATTTTACAACTCACCACTCAACTTTCATGAGCAGCGATGTAGTATATAAATAGTTTTTAATTCTTATGATTTTAGAACATAATTAAAATTTATATTTTAAAGTTATATAAATCTTTATTTAAAAAATAAAATGGTGAGTATTGATATACAATATAAATATAATAGAAATTTTTTTTCATCGCATTACTTGCTTCAGACCTGATATATTTTGAATACGAACGGCATGAGAAATGTTTTAAAGTGATAGCTTAATTTTAAAAAATATACATACTTTGAGTTAATAGATGTTGTTTGCGCGTGCTAAAAGTACTTTCATTTTGTTTATCGTGATAGCAAATATTCAAATCTGATTCTGTATGATCAAATTGAAAGTTAACTTTATGAAATTTAGAGCAATAAGAAAAAGTTACTCGGTATTCCTTAATTTTTCTAGGTTATGGGTACCTTGTATTTTGCGAAGTATCCTAATGGGCACTAGAAAAAGTACATTAGTGAAAAGAAAAACCACATTAGTATGGAGCATAATTTGTTAGTGGGCGAAAGACATACAGTAGTTTTTTTTGTGTGTGCGTTTGTTTATAACAGCGGTTACATTGTAGTACAAATTTGCAATCTTCAAGGTAAATGTGACGCAGAATTCACTTAAATGTAAATTTACTCCTTTTTTTTTTAATGCTCCTTTTTCGCGATAAACATTTTAGAACTATACGTTAAGACGGTTCTTACAGAACCCGTCTCCTGTGTAGAGTTACAGGAATAAGATTATTGAAATATAACGATACTTCATCACCCACATAATTACGCTATATATACAGGAACAAGATTATTGAAATATAACGATACTTCATCACCCACATTATTACGCTATATTTACGCTATATTTACGCTATATATACAGGAACAAGATTATTGAAATATAACGATACTTAATCACCCACATTATTACGCTATATTTACACTATATATAGAGGAATAAGATTATTGAAATATAACGATACTTCATCCCCCACATTATTACGCTATATATACATGAATAAGATTATTGAAATATAACGATACTTCATCACCCACATAATTACGCTATATATACAGGAGATGGGTCCTTACAGAACCCGTCTCCTGTGTAGGGTAGCAGGAATAAGATTATTGAAATATAACGATACTTCATCACCCACATAATTACTCTATATATACAGGAGACGGGTCCTTTCAGAACCCGTCTACTGTGTAGGGTAGCAGGAATAAGATTATTGAAATATAACGATACTTCATCACCCACGTTATTACGCTATTTTTCGCAAGGAAAACACAAATGGCATATAACAAGTTTTTACCATAATATATAATTTTAATTACTTCTGTTTTATATTTTTTAGGATTGCAAATGTCTTCTCATATTACGGTTTGCAAATCAATGTTCAAAATCTGGGCGGAGATCCTTTTTTAAATTTCTTCCTTTTGGCTGTGGTCGAGATACCAGGTCTTTTTCTCTGTTGGTATTTCATGGAAAAATGGGGACGACGATGGGCCACAGTTACATTTATGAGTACTTCGGGAATCGCGTGTATTTTCGTTGGTATCCTACCTGGTAGGTATACTAGTCAAGTTTTTACAAAGTTACTTAAGTAAATTATTTCTACATCTAGCATTACTTAACTATTGTCTATTGTAACAAGTACTGGTACATTGATAAACTACTGTTAGTACTTGCTTTTGCTTGATGATAGTATTTATCAAACATGTATACTTGCGATTAATCACACAATACACAAAGCGAAAGTGGCGGGGCATTTAAATTGCATACGTTTGAATGTTTATTTTTGCCCAATATGCAAAGTCATATAGGTCATATATGTTACCGGCAAAGTATGAAACGCCGGCATTGTATAGAGTGCCAAGGCATTGTATCGAATGCCGGATGTTTTTAGGCAAAGTATGAAATGTGAGAAGTATTACAATACTTTCCCTAGGCATTGTATAAAATGCCTAGGCATTCTATAGAATGTCAAATGCTATTTAAGCAAAGTATGAAATAAACGTATTGATGAGGTTATTATGTGAATGATGTGCATGTTACTGTGAATGACCGAAATCGGTGGTTGTTGACTTTCACCGGTGAATGTTGACATTCACGAGGTCGCATTGGTGAATGTCCGAAATATTTATTACATCCTATTTTATATTAATTTATTCGTGGATATAATTACATTTATTCGATATTTTAATACTTACTGACGATAGAATCGAAGAAATATTAGTGTTTGGAGTATCGGGCAAATGTATACCGGGCAGTGGCACTTAACTAGACCTAGTATGATTAGACCTTTGGTAAATGTCCGAAATATATACTAGGTCTAGTTAAGTGCCACTGCCGGTATATTCAACACTGATGTTTTTTTAAGGTCAATAAGTGCACTACCTTGTATACATTTGCCCGGTATACCCTACACTGATGTTTTTTTAAGGTCAAATGCCATTGCCCGGTATACCCCACACTGATGTTTCTTTTAATCTATTGTAAGTAAGTATTAAAATATCGAATAAATGTAATCTTATCCACGAATAAATTAATATCAAATCGGATGTAAGAAATATTTCGGACATTCACCCAAGCAACTATGTGATTGTCAACATTCACCGGTGAAAGTCAACAACCACCGATTTCGGTCATTCACAGTAACNAATCCTCCGGAATTTGTTGTGAGAATTTATTCTTTTCATACTTTGCCGGTTTCTCATTTGGCATTCTATAAAATGCCTAGGCAATGTGTGAAATAGAAATCATTTCATACTTTGCCGGCTAGTTTTAGGCATTCTATACAATGCCGGATTTCATACTTTGCCGGTAACATATAATGCATCAGATATTTATATATGTTTGAATTATAAAATTTCTTTTTTTTTTTTTTGTAGTACAAAAATTTTAGAAATGTAAAGTTCATGTTTTGTTTTACCATATTTCTTTTAATTTTTTAAATTATTATTGAAAAAATTGAATAAAATAATGTTATCAAAAATTTGGTACATGCAAATATTTTTGTTTGTATATTATTCAAATATTTTTGTGTTTGTATTATTTTTGTATTTATATTGTATTCACATAATATTAATATTTTTGTATATTTCTTTTGTGATGTTCAATGATTTATAGATATGCCACACGTCGCAACAATATGTTCTTTGATTGGAAAATTTCTAGCGACGGCTTCGTTTATGGTAGTTTATCAACAAAGTTCAGAATGCAACCCGACATCACTCAGAGCAATAGGCATGGGTCTAAGTGGTACAATGGGAGGAGTAGCAAATCTTATAGTTCCTTATGTAATTTATTTGGTAGGTTTCATTTTTTAACTCAAAATGTTAATGGTCCTTGTAATTTTCAAATTTCGTTTACATTTTTTTATGTGGTAACGCATTCAAGCATTAGCCACTTGTGGGTCACGGGGAATCATGGAGGTTAAGGATCCACAGTTTCGTGACAAACAGCATGATTGTGGCAATGTTGTGGGCAATGCGCTTAGGCTACCTTTGCTTCCCAGACAAGCTAGAACCCATCAATTTGAAGCTGAGTGGAAAGACACCACTGGGTTCAATACCCAGTCGATACGAATCCCACATCCGCCTTGCGCCGACCACAGTACTAATGTGAAATAACCTCAGTGTAGACGGATCATGGGTTAGAGTCCCCTTGCCGTCAGGCTAACCGTGGGAGGTCTTCGTGGTCTTCCTCTCTATGTAACGGAAATGCGGGTTAGCTCCATCAAAAAGTCCTCCACGAAGGCAAATTTCTCCCAACACTCGATCCAGGAGTTCCCTTGNAAATTTGGGTTAGTTCCATCAAAAAGTCCTCCATGAAGGCAAATGTATCCCAACACTCGATCCAGGAGATCCCTTGTCTTCTGGATTGGGTTCAAAACGACAAGGTTGCGGAGTTGAACATTAGTAGTCGTAAACCCATAAAATTGGGTCGGCTCATTAACGACGGTTATAAAAAAATAACAGTTCATTGAGCCTTGGTGGCTCAGGGGATAGAGCTTTCGCTTTCCAATGAGGTGAACCAGGTTTGAATCTCAGCGATGGCTGATCGATACGAATCTCGCTCCCGGTTCACACCGACCACAGTACTGACGTAAAATATCCTCAGTGGTAAATGGAGATCATGGGTTAGAGCAACGCCTCCTATAACTGGAAGCCTCCACACGGTTTTTTGTAGGTAGTCAGATCAGACCACTATGAAGGTAAACCAATTAGTGAAAGAACCATTTAATATGAAATCTATTAAAAAATAAAAAGTGGTAGCAAATATATTTCTAAAAATTTGTTTAATTTATGAATATAATTGGTTTGTTTTATTTTCTTGTCAACCACTACAGATTCAATTCTCAAATATATATGATAAATTTCTCTCAAGTACGTTTAAAATAGAATTCGGGTTTATGCGCCCAAGTGGTTCGCTTTTTAAATAATCTGCACAGACTACTTAAAAGAAACCGTGTGGAGGCTTTCTGATGTAGGAGGTGATGGTTAGAGTCCTCTGGCCTTCAGGATAACCGTGAGAGGTTTTCGTGGTTCTCCTCACCATGTAACGCAAATGCGGGTTAGTTCCATCGAAAAGTCTACCACGAAGGCAAAATTCTTCCAATACTTGATCCATGAGTTCCTTTGTTCTCTGCATTGGGCTCAAAAATACAAGGCTACGGAATTGAAAATTAGTAGTCCTAAACCTAAAAATTGAGTTTGCTGTTCAATGACGGTTATAAAATAAAATTACAGTTCACTACCTTAACCACTGAGTCAGGGCAGTGATAGCATTAGTGATCGTGGGGAAAAACGAATTTACAGATTGCAATCAAATAATTCTTCCAAAAAATATATTTCCTCTCTTAAAAATAAACAATTTAAAAATAGCTCTAGAAAGTTTAATAAAACTTGTGAAAACTGGCGATTGGGTAACATTAAAACTTGAATGTGTGTTTATTGATGTATATTCGATCTATATATCGCCTCGATAATTTCTATTTGTGATAACAATGAATAGATAAATTCTTTATAATATATGCGTGATTTCTCAGTTTTCTCCAATCATCCAGATAGTAAACAGAGTAAGCACAGTGATTTCAATGAAATTAGCCTCCTGTAACTGAATGCGAGTCTGATCTGACCACTACGAAGGTAAACCAGTTTACGAAAGAGCCATCTAATAGAAAATCTAGCAAAAATAAGAAAGTGATAGCAAATATATGACTAAAAATTTTTCATTTATGAATATGATTGGTTTGTCTTATTTAATTGTAGACCACAGCAGATTCATTTCTCAAATATATAGGATAAATTTACCGGAGGCACAATACCATTCTTAGAAATCTGCGAAGTGGCCAGCAATGAAGAACATACTGGTATTCCATCAATAAAATCACCGATAAAATCTGTGCCATGAGTAACTAAACTCTTGAACTCAGAATGCCATTTGAGTGTTCGTTTATAAAGCATTGAGATTTATAATTCCCAAAAGTATCATTCGTGTGATCGTGTTGAATAATATACAAATAAGGAATTGAAGTGTAAAAATCCCTTTGCGCTTTATCATCCTTACAAACCTCTTCCTGACTAACACTCCCTCAGTTCAGATGTAGCTGCATCAGACACCATCATTTATAACAGTAGATGGACTCAAAGTGTCACGTGAAAAGCTTTACTTAACCCTTTGTATCCGGTTTATTTAAATTCCGAACAAAGAGGAAACGTCCAAATTAAAAGGCCAAAACAGTAAATAACTACAAACTAAATTTGCAAATATTAGGCAGATTTTGCTTGTTTTTAAAAAGAACGCCGGCCAGGTGGCTGAGTGGTTAGCGTGCCTGACTGCAAAGCCAATGACTGCTGGTTCGAATCCCGCTCTGGGCATAGATGTTTCTTTCTCTCTGTGTTGTCTTCTGATGAGTGAATGTATGAATGTGGCCCACCCTATGAACGGGTATTTGTGGCAGTGTGGCGTGGGTAATGTTGCTCGCCTCCGTGACTTTGGTTCACAGGCGCCCACTGGGTAACGATAAATGAGCAACACTTCTGGCATCTTCTAAGGCAAGGAACGAAAGTTCAGTGTCTGCCGTTATTAAAAATAAAGAAAAGTTTTTAAAAGATTTAGCATGACATATCTAAAAAAAGTGATGAATTATATAATCCTACGAATTGTTTAGAGATAGTGGTGGATAAAAACCTACTAAATTGAATTTATTAAACCAAAAATCACAATATTTAAGTACATTTTGAATAAATTTTCTGCAATTCCAAAAAAGAGTGCAAATTTTATAGTTCTATATCATGTTATACGCTGTCCGCCAGCTGTTTTTCGTGGCCTATGTGAAAGGTCAGTGTCAGAACGCGGTGGCAGACGCAGCCTAAATGTAATTTCAGTGTCAGCCACCGGTGGCTGACGCGGTCTAAAGGGAAAGTCCAGTGTCGGCCACCGGTGGCTGACGCGGAGCTCAACGTGTTAATGAGATCGTCGACGATGGAGGCCTATTTTTTTAAAAAAAAACATTTTAATAAGTTGTACCAATTAAATAAATAAATGTTCGTAATTAGCTCTATGACATTATGTTTCGGGAAGAACTCTGTAGTCATCAACTGTACTTGGAACAAACATCTAAATTCAGACATTTTTTGTTTTTGCAGGCATACATCGAAAAATATATTCCTTTCCTTATCATTGGAGTAATGACGCTTTTAGCTGCAGCTAGTGCAATGTTTTTAGATGAAACTCTCAATTATGTTTTACCACAAACAGTGCGAGACTCTGAAGAATTCGGAAGAGATCAAAAGTTTTTCTCTTGCAGCGGGTGAGTTGAATGTTTTCTAACCATTTTTTTCTTTTTATTGAAAAAAAAAACTTAAAGGCCGCATTGATTCCCACAGGCCAAAACGTAGACAGCTAAATCATTATTAATATGCTAAGGGGTTATATCTCCTTAACTAAAGTAATATTTAACCCTTTAATTACTGGGATCTGCTCTACTGAAGTGAGGCCACTTGAACAAAGCAATGCACCTCGAAGTGTGAATGTGTATGTAAGACTTTTTGCTACATTTTACTCTTGCAACTAAAAAATACTTTACTCTAAAGAATAACATGTACAGAAGGAACTTGTTACGACTTTCTAAACATATTAAGAGCAATAAAAAAAAAAGTCTGTGGTGTAGATTCAATATAAGTAAAGGGAATATAAGTAAATAGAATATTAGCAATTTGCAGTTTGAAGCAGCAATTATTTTTGAAAAAGTTTACATGGCAAAATTGTCGGCTAAATTTGAAAGGTCATGCTTCGAGCTTTTAGAATTGGTGTTTATTTTGCCCATGCAAAATTTGCTTCGACTAAAATGAGCGTAGGAAGTTAAAATCTTTTTTTACTTTTGGAATCTAAAAGCAATCTCATATAAATATCAAAATCCCAATGAACGCTGAACGTTCTCCAAATATCTGACATAATAGCTAGGAAAAAAAATTATTAATTTTTCTCCTACTTTTGGTCGATCTGAATTTCATATGAGTGAAAATTACACCATTTCTAATAGATTAAAGCATGATATTTCCAAATGTGCATAAGTTTTGTCATGTTTCAAATTCAACCAACAGTTTTTAATTGATAAATTCAAGATATGAAAAGTAAATCTTAAATTTTGCTTTCACTTAACAAAATTGAATGTAACGAAAAATTCTTAAAAATTGGCAGTTATGCGCGGAGCTGAATGTAATACGGAAAAGATTAAAAACTGGTTGAAAAATCATTTCCTTTACAGCTGGCTTTTGGAAGGACTAAAATAAGCTTTTGCTTTAAATTATTCTTCAAATTTTTAATTTCCTTGGCTAAAAAATGTCTTGCATATCCGCTATATTTGTCAAAAAAAAAAAGTTTTGGTTTCAACAAATATTTTGATCGTCTCGAAAAAGAGCTATATTTAAATTATTTTCTTAGTATTACCTTTTGCTCTTTTCAGTCTTGGTTTCGATGTTTATTTCAGGAATGCCGCTGACTAAAAATGTAAATAGTGATGATTAATAAATATAAAAAATCTATTAGATATGATTAAAATTAAGAACTTATGCTCTAGCATATTTTTAGCTTGCAGAGACCGAGAGACTGCAAAAAACAAGGCTCTTGTGGGCTTTGTCTATTTTAAAAAGTGGTAACCAAATGACAATAATTTAATTTCTGTGTAACCACCACTAAAAATTGTTTTCCGAAGAAAGTATATGTCAATGAAAATTCCAGCTTCTGAACCTCATCAATTATGTCTTTCATTTTTCAAAAATCAATTATTGTACAGATCAAATCATGTTTTATCTTTATTTTTAATTTAAGTCTACCATCAATACTTCTAGTGTTATGTAAAAACGCCAATGTGTCAAATTGAATTTTTTCATTGTTTTATTATTTTACAAGCAAACGGCTTGATTTTTTTTATGGCTACCACAAATCATTATCACATGCTAGATGGCGCCACTAAGGCTTAGCAAAATTTATGTAGAATCTTCATGAATTTTAATCCCGATTTTCTGTATATATGCTATCATCAATTTTTAATCCTCAATTTCAAATTTCTACTGCAATTAATGTAAATATCACAGATTAAGCTCGTATTTCGTGTATATCCATCTAATCATGGCTGTATTCATTTTTCAATGGCAATTAATGTAAATCTCCGATCAAGTTTGTACATACTTCTAATCATGGTTACTTTATTATAATGTTACCACATTGTTACATAATTCAAAATGTTTTATTCACTGTATATAATTTTCATGATGAATGGGATAGGGGCCGCTGAGCGGCCTTGGCACCCAGTTTTGTTTAAATAAAGAAAGAAAGAAGCTTCTAAACCACTTAACAACAAAGTGGTACAATTAATTACTTCTAGCAATAAAATTATTTCATTACCACTACTAAAATTTTTCAAGGACTGCGGAAACCCTGAAAGAAAGTTTACGATTTAAATATGAATAATTTGCAATGTTAGTCATGATGGTAGTAACAATTGAATAATTAAATAAATAAAGATGAATTTAGTTTCTACCACTTCTTACATTTTTAGATGCCCTCTAATATCTATTTTACTCTATCATGATTTACGCAATTATTCCTTATTTCAGGAGGAGAAATAGTTCCGAAGTTGAGAATGATGTAGAATTATCTCCTAAACTTCTGGAAGATGGATTGGCGGAAAAAGCATAAGACTTGCTAAAAACATTTTCGTATGCAAAGAACTTATTTACAACACATGATTATTAGTTATCTTGTATTCATAATAGAACTGAATAGGTAAAAAAACATCATTTGAAACAAATATGAATTTTAAAAGAATAAAATTTATTAAAGTTCATTAAAACTGTGACTCATCAATTTTTCTCAATCGATATATCATCACGAGGAAAACTTAAGTGGGAAGATGGGAAAAGAAAATGGTTGCAAAATTATTTCATTTCTTGCTTGTTTTCGTAAGGTATAAAAATTCACGACAACCATGACTTCATATCCATGTAAAGTACATACAATACCTGAAATACCAACTGCTCCGGATACGCCAAAATAATTTTAAAAAAACGGTAAATAACTACAAAGTAAAGTTTGCAAATATTTGAATATTTTTGCTTGCTTTTTAAAAGGTATAGCATGACTTAAGTTCTATAAAGTGGTGAATTATACTGAAAATATTACATCATGTTTGAAGATGCATAGCTTATTCTCTGTTATAGGCATCCCGTCCTTACTAGTTCTATTGTTTAATTGTAAAATGGCCATTTCTACTAAAATAAAGTAATTATTGTTTTGATACATCACAGTTCTATCAATTTTTTACCATCCCTGAGTACAGTACACACAAAAAAATGGACTACCCTGAATAACTTTTGATCTAATGATCGGATTTTCACGTCCTAGAACTCATTCTTAATGTTTCAAGGGGTTGACCTCAAATATGCTAACTAATTAGAGCAGTTGACGTTTTAAGTAATGAAATCAGAGGCAAAAACGTACTTTCTCTGAATAAACATACGTCTTTTTCTACTGATTCGGATTTTTGAACCCCAAAATATAGTGGTTAGCAGCTATGTAAGAAATGTGGTCCCAATAGTTTGGTCAGGAGAGCTGTTCAAAATTTGAATCATTTGAAGTTTATTTTATTTTTTGCGTATTTCGTCATATCTAGCGAACTTTGTAAGCAAATAAAAAAAATTAGCACACAATTTTAAAATTCGTTTATCCAAAGATAATTCCATGCAAAAAAATATATAGTAGTAAACATTCATTACTTTTTCAAGTTATTGCCGAAAAAATTTTGTACTTTAAGGCATAAAATTTTACATGGCAGAATACAAAATTTGAGCAAAAATTGTTGTACAGTTTCGGGGAGATCGAATTTTTTAAATACGGCTTATCGTTTGGTAGAAATCACATAAATCTCGGTGCGCTGCCGCGAAGCGTCATTAACCAATTCATTTGTATTAATAAATCGATGATGCGGAGTAGAGAGGAGGAATGGAGATGGGAAGAAGAGGGGGTTTGTGTGAGTCCGGCTTATCGTTTTGTTAAATTTGGGGTTATATATTGTTTACTTTTGAACTAAGTAGTGGTATATTAAATAAATCAAATTGTTATTTAGCGGCCTACAAGTAAACTGCTTAAGATATCGTTTGGCTGCCAGTTTTATTTTTTCCTAACCCTGATTGTTGCCAATCTGAGAATGCTTGTATGAGGGGCCGTTCAAAAAGTACGTACACAAAATTGGAGAAATTTTAAACCCCTCCCCCCCTTCGTACATTACCGTACATAAGGTCTTACTCCCCCCCTTAGAGTACGTACATTTTATTAGTCTACCCCCCTTTTTCATAAAAATTAAAATAATTATGTTTTAAATAAAATTAAATATTTACTTAAGGAGTGTGTAGGATAAAGTCTAATTTAAATTTGGTGTATGTTTATAAAGTACGTACTTTGTATAATACCTCCCCCCCTCCCCATCGTACAAAACCGTACATAATAGCAAATCCCCTCCCCCCCCCTTCGGGATGTACGTACTTTTTGAACGGCCCCTGACTCAACCATCTCAAAGATGTTATATATAAGAATATTACTTAATTTTTAGATCATTTGCGAATTTTTCCACTACAAATAATTTTTAAACAAGATAAGTAACTTTTATTAGCACGTTGAATGCCAACCTAATTTTACATGGTTAGCCCGTCTGGCCAAACGGTAAATAACTAGAAACTAAATTTGCAAATATTAGACAGATTTTGCTAGTTTTTTTAAAAGATTTAGAAAAGATATATCTAAAATATTTTTAAAAGGCTTAGCATGACATACCTGAATAAAATGGGGAAATTATATAAGTTTACGAATTGTTTAGAAAGAGTGGTGGGTAAAAATTTACTAAATTGAATTTATGAAATCAAGAATCACAATTAATAATCTACCACTTGAAAATATTTATTCGCTGTCAAGAGCAAGTTGCCATCTCTTTGTATATAAATAAAACTATTTTTGTGTGTTCTATATTGCCTTAGTTTCTTCAAACCATTTCAGTAAAGATAATAATATAAAAAAATTAAAAGCATTAAAAATTTACTCGAATTATGTGTTTCTAATAAACTTGACTTCGCCGGTCACCGGTGACCAGCATGGCATTCAACATGTTAAAGAAATTACTGTTTATTTATCTAAGTATTTCATTATTTATTTGGTATGTAATGATAAAAAATAACCTAATAAAAGTGCTAAGTGTAATTACAGCTTTCAAGACCAATTGTTTCGCATAACGTATGGGTATTCAACATTATTTTTGCCAATAATATACACTTGGAATAGTTAAATTTATTTTTGTAAGCAAGAAAACTGAATGCATATCAATTATCTCGATATTTTACCGATTAATGTGTTTTTAGCAAAGCTCTCTCCCCAAGGGAAATAAAAAAAAAGCCTCAGTTTAAGTGAAGCAAAGCTATAATTTTAAAATATATATTGCATCTAGTTTTAAAGAATTATCTACATCTTAAAGGAACAAATAGTTTGGACGCTAAAAAAAATATTAAAATTTTTAATAAATTGTTTTTGTGGCATTCTTCCACCAGGCTGAACCTAATAAAATCAATTCAAAAATATTAGTTTTTGGAAAATTTTCAAGAACCCAGACAATTTAGAGTAGGCGTAATGCGTCAAGCAGTAAAAAAATCGTACGCAATCGCTTTTTATTTTCATAAAACTCACCAAACATAAACATGTAAATTTAATAAAATTATTACTACTGTTATTCTCATTAATATAGCACAATATTCATGATTTGCAAAGGATGAAGATAGCAAAAATTCCATAAACAAACATGAATTGGCCCATTTCTAAAACCTGGTGAAACATAAAAACAACAGTACTAAAGTATTCAAATATAACAGCTAATTTGGGACAGAGAGAGAATGTTTTATTAGATTTATAAATTATCATTTCTTAATTTAAATTAATTTTTCTAAAAGATTTTCGTATTTGATCTTATTTGTTAAATTATGAAAAAGGTCATATTTGTATATCTTGAAAATGTTAAAAAAAATTTTATTAATTTTGTAAGTAGTATTAGCATTTTTTCTTAAATTCTCTAAATAATACGAGGTTTTCTATACATTTTTATTTATCATGTAACAAAATTTAATAACAAATTAATCATAACAAATAATAATAACCAAAGACGATGGTCTAGACAACGAAACGTGAAGGTATTAAGGAAAGAAAGCGTGTGAAATAAAACATAACTTAACAGGGAGTGGTCCTATGTAATGTCGATGTCATTTTTAATAAATCTTGTTTAATAGTACAAAACATAACTTGTTTAAAACCCCTTACCATTCAAAGCTTTTTTTCCAAAACTACTTAAAGAATTGCTAAAAACTTTTTACATGTTTGAGATATTCAAACCGGACATTTTTTAATAAGTTACCAAATACGATAATGTAAGGTTCGCATAAGTTTGATTTTATTACAGCAGAGAATAGTTTAACTTTCATATGAAAAGGTGGCAACATTCAGAGATGTAAATAGAACGCTTCGCAAACGCATATATTTCGCTGTTATTATTTTTCATTAAATACTTTTATAAAATATCTCTTCGCTTATTTACTGTAATGCATATTAATTAAATTCCTTGTCATTCAACTTTATCTTATATACGATTCAAAGTAAAATTATGAAAGTAAAAAAATCTACCAGTGCTGATGGTTTTAAAAAAAGTATGGTATTAAGAGCACTCTTTCGTATAATATATGAAGCATTTTTCAGGCAAAGATCCAGAAGGAAGAACCAAATCACTGTGTTTGCGCAGAAAAGAAAATTTACACAAAGGACCCAAAGTTACGACCACTCACTTGACGAAATATCATTGCCATATTTCTACCTTTGCAGATCCCCCCCCCCCCNCCCCCCCCCCCAGTTTTAATTATCAAATAGGCACGTTTTTGCTTAAGCTTTGCTCTAGCTTAATTCATAGTTAACGCTGACTAATTAGAAATTTGAGGTTCCCCTTTTGAGTCATTATGAATGGTACTTTAGTCATGAAAATCCAATCATTAGAACCCAAGTTATTCGAGGTGTTATTCTTTTTAATTTGCAAACAGTACACTCCCTGAGAAATCATTAACACGTTGAATGCCACGCTAATTTTACATGGTTTGCCTATCTGGCCACTACAAACTAAATTTGCAAATATTACACCGATTTTGCTATTTTTTTAGAAGGTTTATCATAACATATTACTAACTAACTAATCAAATTTTTCAGAGTGCCTATCCCCTAGGGGATATCTGCTCTTTCATCGCATTGAAATAAATAATGGGTGGGGCGGAAAGGGGGGGGGTAAAGGTATGCCAACGGCACGCGGTGTTCCCAGGTGGTCACACTCCCAAGTACTGACCGCGCCCGATGATGCTTGACTTCGGTGATCGGACGAGAACCGGTATTTTCATCATGGTATGGCCGTTGACCATAACATATTGGATAAAAGTGTTGAATTATATAAGCCTACGAATTGTTTAGAAATAGTGGTGGATAAAATCTATTTAATTGAACTTATCAAACCAAGAATCACAATAATTAAGTAAATTTTGAATACATTTTCTGCAGTTCCATAAAAGAGTGTAAATGTTATACTCTGCCAGCCAGCTGTTTTTCGCGGCCTATGTGTAAGGTCAGTATCAGCAAGCTGTGGCAGTCGCAGCCTAAATATAATTTCAGTGTCAGCCACCGGTGATTGACGCGATCTAAATGTAATTTCAGTGTCAGTCACCGGTGGCTGAAGGGAAAGTCCAGTGTGTTAATTAAAATGACGCTCAACGTGTTAATTAAAATGAATAGTTTATAATTGAAGTTTTTTTTAACAAAACTACTTTAACATTTGGCAAACATGAGATGCAAAAAATATCATCTCAGAAATTTTGAGATGTTAACCGGGAAAAACTATTTTGTAAAAGAGGTGGTAAAGCCTCCCTCATTTATCCTATATTTGAAAGGCAACATACTGACCACGGAATACAGTTAGCAAAAAAAAAATAAAGTACGAAAGTAATAATTTATTATCGACTGTGTTATAATTGTTTTTCTCTTGCTGTATTTATTATTATTCATTTCTATATTACTCTTTACTTTAAACAACGAGTTTCCATTCCAGAAAATGACCCGACTTGCAATTTACGCAGATGTCATATTATACAAGTGCAAAAATAAATAAATAAAATCGCAAGAAGTGAACCCCTGACAGAAAGCAATTTATTTGTTATTATTTTTGTATTGAAAGACACTCCTTATACAAAGTAAAATTTTATTTTTAACTGTAAAAATCATATAACTTTACTCAAATACTTAAGTATATATTTGAATACTTTGAAAGAAAGTACATTTATATAAAATGTACGGTTTGGTAAAATTTGAAGTATCGAAACAAAACAAAAATTTGCAAGGTATGGAATACTTTTATCTTTTATTCAACACATAACTAGTTTTAGGGGTGGGGGAATACGCCGTTAGCTTTTTAAGTAATTTTAAATAAATTAAAGATCAATAACTAATCGTTTTTGGTGATTTTGAAGCTTTCATTCCAGAAGCATAAAAGTTAGCTTTTTACCACTTCTTCCACGATTAATAATCACGCAATTTGTTTTCCAATCAATATATACTCAATAATATCGATTGAAAGGTGAGAAAAACAAAAAAACCAACTACAGCAATAATTTTATTTAATAGTATATGCATTTAAAATATTTCAAGTACGCTTTATGAAGAAATCTAAACTATTAAGAGTAAATAACTTTAGAATAAATATCACGTCTGTGTACTAATGTTAATTAACGAAAGCTAAAACTTCATTTGTTCGAACATAAAAACATATTTACGAATAACAAAATACTTGTGGAACATTACACGCAAAAAATGGATCTTCTTGCATCTCATTCTGTTTCTTTACTTGTTTTTTTTTATTATTAAATGATGAATAAAATACCTATAAAAGTTTGCATTTGATTATTTTATGTGGAATTATCTATTCATTAAAGATCTGATATTTTAACCACTTTTTTCCAATCATTATAACCTCAATAGTATCGATATAAAAGTGGGAAAAACAAATTACCATAATAATTCTATTTAATGGCATATATAATTAAACTATTTCAGAGACGCATTTAATTATTCAAGTATGCATTAAACTAATTCAAGCACGTATTTTGCAAGCATTTTGTTCATTTTTGTTTTGAAAAACTAATGAATAAAATGCATGTATAAGCCTGCATTTGATTATTTTATGTTAAATGTATTAAAGATCTAAAACAAAAGTAAAAACCCATCGTTCTGTTTTGCATTCATCAATTTCCTGATATTTCTGATAGCAGATATCCCTTTAATATCTGGAACTTTTACCATTCAGTTTTTAGCCTGGTAACTGTCGTAGACTAATTTGTGTGTTAACAATTAGAGCATTTAATATAATCCTGGGTATTAATAATGGTTCTTATCTAGACTGAAAGTTTTCAAACTATATAGCATTAAATAATTCGTTAAAAATAATTATCTAATCATAAGGAAAAAGAAACTCGTTCTCTTTAGGAAGAATAGCCAATTTTCCTTGTCAATTCAGATTATTTATTCTCTGTTAGCTTTAAAGAACTGACTGGAGTTAATGAATCTAAACTAATTTTCAACCTGAGAATCGACGTGAGACTTTATATAAAGGCAAAACATCCGCAATCATTGCAGAAGAATATTTCCAAGAAGAATTCACTCATCTTACAAAGAACTGCCAAATTTTCTAACCAATTCAACAGGCCCATATTCGTTTAGCCACCAAGAACTGACCTAACTCAACTTCAACTGAATTTCACCCTAAAAAGATTTTTGTATAAAAATGGTGGCATATTTTCCCTCTAAACTTAGAATTGCAGTTCTACCCAATACCAGAGCCATAGAAGTTGAAAGAATTAACAACAAAACCATTATCTCGGGTATTGAGGCAGAACTTATAAAACTATTGTCACAAGGAATAAATTTCGAATATGAGATTCTTGCTCTCTCAGACGAATCTTACGGAATCAAGGATACGTTTGGAAACTGGACAGGAATGGTCGGAATGCTCGCAAGAAATGAAGCTGACATGGCCATCTCGCTAATAGGTATCACCGAAGAGAGGTCAACTGTAGTGGATTTTAGCTTACCTTACCACTATATCGAAAAAACATTTATGATGAATTATGCTTCATTCTTGCCAAAAACGGCAGCATTCTTGTATCCTTTCAGCACTTTCACGTGGATTTTAATTTTGATCGTACTGCTCTTTATGACAGTGCTATTTCGAACTTTGATATCGCCAAAAGATTCCCTTACTTCTGTTTTCTTCGATTTGTGGGGATCTTCTTTCGGACAAGGAACGAACTACAACCCTCGTTCAATGTCCAGGCGTATACCACTTGGAATTTGGCTCATTTATTCATATGTTCTGATACTCTGTTACAGCTCAGTTCTGTTATCATTTTTGACATCCCCCATCAGAAGGAAACAAATGAGCAATTTCAAGGATCTCTACACCGCAATCAGAGAGGGTGGAATGGAATGCCGAGCAGCGATTCATACACAGGAAGCAGATTATTTGTCGAAAAGCAGTATACCCTATATGAAAGGATTAGGGGAATACATTAAAAAGAATGAATGGTATTATCGATCTCTTAGTAACACAAGAGTTCCGGAACATGTGGCAATAATTGGGTCACCCATTATGTTTCACGCATTTATTGGGTCCTCTGAAAAGTATTTTTATTCGAAGGACGTTTTTGAAAGTTTTCCGATGGGGGTTGCAATCAGAAAAGGCTTTTGCTGCAAAGAGCGCTTCAATACAATCCTACTCCGGATTTTAAGCGGTGGCTTATATAATAAATTCATAGACACTATCAACTACAAAATGGAAGTCTTGAGAAAGTTTAACACTGACCACTCTCAGAGTGTATCAGTTTTAAAGTTATCGGATTTAAGTGGAGTGTTTATTATTCTTGGGATAGGTTGGACAACTGCTATTTTTACTTTGGTAATGGAAATCACCTACAGTCGATGGTTACGCTCAAAACCCCGCCAAACCTGATATGCAAATGACCTTTTGCTTATACAGCATTCACTATCACCTTTTTCTTTTCAAATTAGATGCTAAATCATTTTTTAACTACATAACCAGATTTCTATGATATAACTACTTGCATAACTGAACAATATATTATTAGAGGATACTTTGATTTATCAGAGGAAAATTGCTTACATTTTAACTTTCCAAGATCGTACCCATCACTATTAAAAAAAAGCATTGTATTAAGAACACTTTAGCGATAAATTAAGAAGCTTTATTCGCGTTATCCATTAGGAAGCTTTTTAATAAATTTTCATTGTAATGTTTGAACATCCTCTGGACGTTAAACATTGCTTGTTGAAGCCGCATGCATAAAGCAGAACTAAAGTGATGTACAAATTATTAAATACACCATATATAAATGTTAAGCAACTTATTTGGTTTTGTTCTACTTGGTTCTTTTGATAGCTAACTAATGTTTGAAGTTTGAAATAATGCTTTGCGTTGTAGCGCAGTTGTCTAAATCGTACATCGTTGGTGTGAAATCTTAAAACTTAGCATTATAGTACGATTTAAGAGCACCATATTGATTTCAACTATTGAACAGGTTGGTTTTTAAGCCAATTAAACTGTACTACATCCAAACTGTCAGCAAATATCTGAGAACTATTTCTAAGTTGGTTTTCAAAGACTACAATAATTGAGAACACTGCTTAAAAGGATTTAACTGCTCTGGCTTCAATTAAACTGACCATTTGATAGCAGAAAACCTGAATCTATACATCAATTAATTGGAGAGAAAAAAAAAGGAACTGTTCTAATAAATTCAAATCCTTATGATGAAATTTAATTCCCAAGAAAGGAAAATATGATTTAAAAAGACATCTAAGTAATGATCTAGTAATTATTTATAAGTAATGTAATTTGTGACTCACCTGTTCCAGTACCTATGCAACGCCTCCTACAATTGAAAGTCCCCACACGGTTTTTTATAGGTATTCCGATCAGACCACAATGAAGGTAAACCAGTTTACGAAAGAGCCCTGAATTCAAGATCTAGTAAAATTAAGAAAGTGGTAGCAAATATATTTCTAGAAATTTTTTTAATTTATGAAAATAATTGGCATGTCTTATTTACTTGTCTACCACTACAGATTCAATTCTCAAATATTTATGATAAATTTCTCTCAGTCACATACCTGCCAACATTTAATCCCTTCCATTATCATTTTTCCCAGTGGTATTAAAACGGAATTAAATCTTCAATTTTAAGCAAACAAATACGTTGCATTTGAAAAAACTTAAGTTGACAACCATGATAGTACCGCATATTAATATATGTGCTTAATGTTTGAAAGAATAGTGGTGATCAAAATCATTTAAAAATTAAGTTTATAAAAGAAGAATAGTATATATTTACTACCACTTTAAATATGAAAATAAAATCTTCGGGAAAATCCGGAAGAGTTGGCAGGTATACAGTCACTACCAAAAAGGAATTTGGGTCCATGCGCACAACTGTCTCACTTTTAAGATAGTCTGAGTAGACTACTTAAAAAAGAACCGTGTGGAGGTTTTCTGATGTAGGAAGTGATGACATATGTCATAGGCTTCAATAGAACAAATTTCTAAAATCTAAGAAGAAATAAAATTGCTTATACGTACCGTAATGATACAGCTTTAACACGTTGCACTTTCAAAAAGTCACTATTGAACGTTATAGCACGTAGCATCATGTTCCTTTAGAAATTTATAGGCTTATAATATGCTTCTAATAATTAAAAAATTTGGTGACTTGGTGTATTTTTTTTCTTCATACATTTAAACTCATTTTCCACATCACTACATACAAATGATTTAAAAGTTCATATGCAACTCCACTTCGTTTTTGCTATTCGTTAAGAAGCTGCTAAAATGTTGGCAAAATTTTCTGAAGCGTTGATCTTTACATGTCTACCGTTCTGTTAAATATTTTGCAAAAAGCGTAGTAGTGGCAGGCCTCACACATACGCGAGATATATCATTACTTTTGGAAAAATTCATATCTCCTGACAAAGCTAATAACTTTTAAGTATTAGAAAGTTCAAAACAGTCCGTTAGCATTATTATCTAATGATTTTGCCAAAAACCGGTTTTAACTGCTAAATATAGGGACTATTTAACACTAGGTTTACGAGACGCGTCATTTTGACGCATTTCGAATTTTATAAGGAAAATTACAAAACCCGTTTGCATTTTTATTTTATCTCTTGCAATGACTTTTATCCATTGATCGAGGTAAATATATATTGAAGTCTGTTTTCTTCAAAAGCGTTGAAATATTGAACTTCTCTTTGGGGTATACCTATCTCTACGGACATGCGTCAATTTGACGTGATCGTAATTTAGACAAAATTTTGTGTAAACGTGCAAACATCACATCAATAATAAATAGGAATGTATCGACAATGCTTCGATTCGTTTTCCGATATCGATATCTCAAATGAAACAAGCAATAAACAACTCTTGCCGATAAGAAATAATCGAAAGAACTAACACAGAATGTCAATTGATGTCAGATTTTGAAGGTTTCAGTTGCTCAGTTCGAGTATTGAATAATAAAATACTAGAATATTTTATAAATATACATATCATATTTTCATTTTTTTATAGTATATAATTACATTGCTTTCGAAGTGCAGAGATGCCAACTGCTCCGGACACGCCAAAATAATTTTTAAAAAACGGTAAATAATTACTAAGTAAATTTTGCAGGCATAAATTGGTGAATTATATAAGCCTACGAATTATTTAGAAATAGTCGTGGAAAAAAATCAACTAAATTGAATTTATTAAACCAAGAATCACAATTAATAAACTACCACTTTAAAATATATATTTGCTGTCCGGAGCAAGTTGGCATCTCTGTAAGTGCTGTTATATGTATTCGTTCATGCGTCAAACTGACGCGTGTTCGTAGAGATAGGTATATAAGAAACGTTCGTAAACCTAGTGTTAAGTATTATAACGCTATAAAATTGCACTATTTTCGGATTTTTTTAATTAATTTTTAAACACCTTGATTTATTTGAAACTTATTTCATGTTAGAATATGATCGTCCTATTTACCATAAATATCGATTAAAAAACACTCACTCAGCTGCAAGATGGATGGGCTGCAACGGGGCCATGGAGATTAATTTCGTGACCAACAATTCAGCAATTTCATGACCAACGGCATGATAGCGATAATGTGGCCAGCAGTGTGCACCTGCCGCTTTTACTTCTATGACAAGGTAGTACTCATCGATTTGAAACTGGAAAGAGGTCAAATCACCACTGGGGATAAAATTACTTGCGTAGATATGTTGTACAGTGCGCAAAACAAAAACGAAACGCTCAGAATAACTTTTGATCTAATGATCAGCGTTTCACATATTTTAATCATAATGATTCGAGGACTTAACTTGAGTGTGTTAATTTATTAATGCTGACTATTTTTTAAGTAACGAAATCAGACAGAAAAACGTTCTTTCTCAGAATAAACACACCTTTTTTTTTTTAAGGGCGGTTTTGGATTTTTGACCCTCAAAGGGGAAGGGATAGCTGCTATCAGGAAAATATGGTTGCAATAGTTTGGACAGGAAAGCAACACTTAATGTAATTTAACCCGTTTTTTCCCGAATTTATTTATTGAAATGATACAAAAAGTGGGATTTATGGAAAAAGTGGTATAATATATTTTCGAAATTAATTGTTTTTTCTACTGTTAGGTCATTCAAAAAGTCATTGATAGATTAGAAAGTACTTGCTCCTTATAATTCTAGATCTAATCAGAAATAAGTAAATATTGTGGTATCTGAGAATCTTTTAATTCACCCAGATAAATGAAAATGCTGAAAAAAGTTTCCCACCACAATGAATGTTTTTGAAAAAAGGAACTGTCCTAAATATATGACGCTAGGCGTTAACCGGTTAATCTTTTACGCATTTCGCCATGTCTCTAAATTTTTTTAAGCGTTGAAAAAATTTTGGACAAAAAAATTATTTATCCAAACACAATTTAATTATATTTATTATTTTTGTTATTTTATTAAATAATAGTTGAAAAATTTTGTCTTATAATGTACGCGAAATCTTATATCTATCATTATAAAGAATGTAATTTTTGTATATTGCCATGCATGAAAGTTGAGCGCAATCGGTCGAATAGTTCCTGAGAAATCGGACTTTAAAGAAATCATCTGTTTTAAAATCAATTTCTCAGAAGCTATTTAACCGATTTCGTTCAAAGTTTGTACATTGCCGTATATAATTCGATCAAATAGTTCCTAAGAAATTGAATTTTAAATATATTTCTTTATTGCATTGAAACATCATTTTTTTAATACATATTGGCCATATTTTCGAGAAATATTCATGTTTGTTTATAAAATTTGATATCGATATTTTTAAAACAATATTTAGGGTAGATAATATTTTGTTCTAGCATAAGTTTACTCATGTATATTTTTCGATTTTTTAAAAAAAAAAAAATTGTTAAATACGCGATTCAATTAAAATGGTTTCACATTAGAATATGTTTCTTGCATTTTCGGAAAGTATCATCTCCAGATTAATGAAATAAATATTTATATTTCTGTCTGAAGTCAAGGTTCATTTTCAAAGAGGTGGGTAGCAGATGAGAATATTTACTTGGCTTTAGCGTGTAAGTACTGCCACTTACATCATAAACGCACATTTTACGTCATTGCAATATTTGCAGCCTCAAAACCAGCAAACAAATTTATTAGATGTTAGTTCCTTGAAATTTTCATTTTTCCTGTAAAGTAGCGGAAAAGGAGAGGAATGTTTGAATAAGAAAAAAACAATATTTAACAAATTTCATCAAGAAGATCAACATTAAATAAAGTTTGATTGTTATATGTTTATTTATACAGTTTTCAAGTAACGTTTTACGTATTATCTTTAATCTTATATTTTAGAGGCCATTTTTATTTGAAGGTGAAAATATTCCGAAAATTTCCATTTATCGATTACGAGTCATTGGGATTCTTGGATTATGCCACGTCAATTTAATCTTCCTTAATTATTCACCTCAAGTTTCAAATAAATATTTAATATTTAACTCAAGCTATGTTACAGTAATCATTCATGCGCTACCAGCTTTGTTTCGCTCAAATTAGCAGAAAAGTTGGTTTATTACTCTCCATTTCGGATTATTTCTTACCTTTTAATGAGGCAAATAAATTTCGTATTCCTAATTCAAGGTCAACATATAAAACGAAAGTCCACAGATAATATTCTTGCGAGAACAAGATTTTCTTCCGCGTCAAATAAAGAAATGAAAAGTAAGGGTTTTTTATAATCCGCAAGAAGGCCATTGGTTCCGCTGTGGAAAAAACACTTTCCCTACATATTTCAAAACAGAGCAATTGCTTCTTTTTCTTTTAGCAGTTTTTTTTTTCATTCTTCTTTCGTATCATCTTTAGGAAGTTCATGACCACTTGCAGGTGCTTTCTGCGATCTTCGTGATAACGTTTTGAAATATCGTTTGCAAAACTTTTTTATATTTATATAATTTGCAAACGACAAAGTATCAAACGATAAGCAATTTTTTTTCTTTTTAATTATCTAAATGGTTTAAAAATTTCGAAATTTCTAAATATTTTTCATTTAACAAATGTTTGGCTCGCAATCATATTTCATGATCATTGTTATTTACAGAAGTTGGAATGGCGAAAAAGTTTCAAACTCTGCCGGTACTGAAGTCAGTTAGTAAAATTTCCTTATTATACTTTTTCTAGTAGATATTTTTTACGTTAAGTTTTAATTAAGCCTGCAATTTTTTTCACGTTTAACGAATATACTATAATGTTTGGAACTTCCATTGAATTTAAGGAATGCAATAGATTGGAATGAACTTTCAATTACGTTTCACTGATAATTAATTACTAGGTTGGACTGAACATTCAATTGCGCTTTACCAATAATCTAGATTGGATCGAACATTCAATTGCGTTTCACTAATGGACTAGATTAAACCCAGCTTTCAATTGCATTTAACTAATAAACTGGATGTTTCACTAATGCATTAGATTAGTCTGAACTTTCAATTGCGTTTAACGTTAAAAAGTATTAAATCAATCTTTGCATATCAATCATGCCTTCATCAAAAAAGGAACCGGAATTTGAGGATCTTCTTGAAGAAATCGGTGACTTCGGTAAATATCAGAAACGTTTGTTAATTGTTTTTCTGATTCCTTCAGCACTTGTTCTTCCATGGTTCAGCATGAATATTATTTTCATGGTATTCACGCCAGAACATTGGTGTTATGTACCAGAAGTTGTGAACAGCAATCTTAGTCATGAGGTACAACGCAGCATTATTGTACCTCGAGGAAATTCTTCTTGTTTCAAGTATGATGTGAACTATACAGAACTATTCACCTCCGGTTCTCTCCAGATTAAGAATGATACTCCAATTATTTCTTGCAGAAGTTGGCAGTACGATACAACTTACTTTGAAGAAACAGCAGCAAGCAAGGTAAGAAATTATATTTTAAAATGAAATTCGTAAATTCATCTTGTCTTGTGAACTGTTAAAATACTTGTAATATTTTTTATCCCTTACTCACAGACGGTATTTCATAGTATCCCTTTCATATTAAAAATAAGAAAGGTGGTAGAAAATTATATTATTATGTAAACACTCATTTGAAAGAACATAGGCATATAGTTATATATATTTACGCATCAAAAATTCATATTTGGATAGGATGTATGCGAATTTTATAAAGGTTGTCTAAAATAGTAAATTACAATTAAATTCAGAGATAACAATTTTTGTAGCTACACCGTGTTTGTATCATGAAATTAAGTCGTCAAACGAAGAGTTTAACCCTTTCAAAAGCCATGGTAACTTACGACCAATTTTTAAGTCGATGGTGAACTTTTTTACCACTTTAAATTTACGTTTCCATTTGTTAATAACTTCAACTCTCTTGAAGTGCGTTTCAATTCAATTGGTAACCATTTGTTAGTTTAAGAAAACGTATAAAAGTTATAAAAATGCATAACTCCTTTTGAAGATTGTAGCATTCATAAAATTTATTTCATAAATTACGAAAAATAAAAGTCAATAAATTCCTAATACTTCGTTTTAAATATACTTACCATCAAAGAAATGGCATTCTTATGAACTAAATGAGTTTTTTTTCTTATATCAATTACTATTCTTCTAACAATTTCAATTCAATTATCTTTACTAGAAATAAATGGCCCTTTAAAGGGTTAACGCAGGAATGCCAACTACTTCGCATCTTTAAGAGACTGTCATTCAGAACAACTGCAACAGATATTTAGTTAATATCGCCGTCATTTCAGCCCATTCCCTGCCGAAGAGGGCTTTGACGCAATCGCTCGGTTAAGAGGAGAAACTTGTTTTGATCTGGGTTGTTTATCCCTCCAGAAAAAAGAGAAGTTGGTAGTAAATCCATTTCATATCTATCTTATTTTCGGGAGAAATAAAGAAAAAACTCTGGTAACCAAGACTTATTAACATGTTGAATGCATGCCATGCGGGTCACCGGTGACCGGCACTGAGTTTGTTCGTAGAGCCACGGGAACACCAGTAAATTTAAAATTTTTTTAATATTAATATCGTTACAAAAATGGTTTGAAGAAGTTAATGCAATATAGAACACACAAAAATAGTTTTATTTATATACAAAGAGATGCCACCTTGCTCCGGACAGCAAATATATCTTTTGAAGTGGTAGTTTATTAATTGTGATTCTTGGTTTAATAAATTCAATTAAGTAGATTTTTATCCAGCACTATTTCTAAATAATTCGTAGGCTTATATAAATCACCACTTTTTTCAGTTATGTCATATATACCGTTTAAAAAACTAGCCAAATATGTCTAATATTTGCAAATTTATTTTGTAGTTATTTACCGTGTGGCCAGACGGACAAATTTAGCGTGGCATTCAACGTGTTAAACTAAAAAAACTAGCCAAATAAGCCTAATATTTGCAAATTTATTTTGCAGTTATTTACCGTGAGGCCAGACGGACAAATTTAGCCTGGCATTCAACGTGTTAAACTAAAAAAACTAGCCAAATATGCCAAATATTTGCAAATTTATTTTGTAATTAATTACCGTGTGGCCAGACGGACAAATTTAGCCTGGCATTCAGTGTGTTAAACTAAAAAAACTAGCCAAATATGCCTAATATTTGCAAATTTATTTTGTAGTTATTTACCGTGTGGCCAGACGGATAAATTTAGCGTGGCATTCAACGTGTTAAACTAAAAAAAACTAGCCAAATATGCCAAATATTTGCAAATTTATTTTGTAATTATTTACCGTGTGGCCAGACGGACAAATTTAGCCTGGCATTCAACGTGTTAAACTAAAAAAAACTAGCCAAATATGCCAAATATTTGCAAATTTATTTTGTAGTTATTTACCGTGTGGCCAGACGGACAAATTTAGCGTGGCATTCAACGTGTCATATACTGCACTGTTTCCTGATTTGCAAAATCTTCGTTAGTAAATCTCCATAATGAACGACATATATTTCTCGCAAAAAAAAAAAAATGCTGGAAATGAAATTGTTTTACTCCCAGTGTTTTTTTCTTTACTCAGGAATACAAGCAGTCAGGGATGCCAAGTACGTTAAAAACTGTAAAAAGTGGTACCTAATAAAAGTCGAAAAGCTATCAAAAGAGATTAAAATTTATATCTATTTTAACATATTACTTTCTGCGTGCTATTGAAAGTGAATGCAAGGAATATTTTCGCTTTAATTTATACATAATGTGTTCAATGTAAGTCATAATGATAATTACCATTGAATAATCAAAAAGATTAAATAAAAAAGATGAAATGAGTTCTTCGATTTTTTGACTCACAAGACATCCCTGTAAACAGTCCTGTTTTACAAAAACATTTACTTACCTGCAAACTTCGACCGTTTTTGCTTAAAATTTTTCATAATGGTAATTGTAAAGCAACGAAAAAGCATCAAAGAAACAAGTAACTTTTTAAATATGGTCAGGCTTTTACACGTATTACATCATTTTCAGGAATCTCACATGTAATTCCATACCTGCCAATTTTGACGCATTTTGTGTAAAAAAAATTATTTTTAAATTAATAGTAAATGTATGCTATCCTTATACTTATAAAAGTATTAACTTAATTTTAATGATTTTAACGACCACTATTCGTAAAAATATTAATCTTACATATTAATATGTGAGACTAACATGATTACCTTATTTTTCATGGTTGCGAGTAGGAGATTAAATAATGTCGACATAAGTTGACAAATATGATGACAAATAATATGATTTATTATTATGCTTAAACGGCGTGCTTACGTTGTAATTGTTGCTACTTGCTATAATTTTAAAATATTACGGTGAACAATTTCATACCTGCCAACTTTTACGCATTTGGCGTAAAATTTTATTTCTATATTTAAAGTGGTAGTAAAATGTATACTTTCAAAATATTTCTTGCATTTATAAACTAAATTTATAATCTTTTTGATCACCACTATTTCTAAAAAAAAATTAAGTATATATAGTAATATTGAATACTCTCACGGTGTCCCGCCGGAGTACCTCAGGGCAGCATTCTGGGACCGATATTATACACTTATGATTTTCCTATAAACAAAGCCGATTATAACAGCCTATTACGCAGATGATACCGGTATTATTATTAAATCCAGAAACCCAAATCATGCTCTTCAAAAACTACAAGACCATATAGACGAAATAAAAGACTGGTGCTTAAATTGGAAAACTGCAGTAAATGCTGGAAAATCACAAATATTAATTATACAAAAAAGAAGAATTAAAATACTTCCACAACTTCAACCAAAAATGTTCAACATACCAATAGTTAAAAAAGCAAATTATCTTGGCCTTATAATCAATAGCAAACTCACCTGGAATGATCACATCAAAAGCACAATAGATAAAGCAAATGCAGCAATAATAGCCATACAATCATTAATATATAATCAGAATATGTCACTTAAACTAAAGAAGCTACTATATACAGCAATGATCCGCCCAATACTTACCTATGCCTCACCTGCCTGGACAACGATACCTCAACATCTACTGAAGAAATTAAACCAATGCCAAAACAAGATCCTTAGAAAAATAACCTGTGCAAGATGGTTCATCCGGAATACCAATATACATGCAGACCTCAAAATACCAACTCTATCACAGCATATATACAAGCTAAACGCAGATTTTTTCGATAAAGCCATAGAATGTAAAACAGCAAATTTTAATAAAATCTTTAAATTTGAAAATTATATCAAAGATAAAAACTACAGACCAATAGCTGCACATTTCACCTCCGACGCCTCATATCATAACTATCAAAACAAATAATTTCATCAACCTTTCTGAAAATAACGTTTACTCATGCTGATTCTGAACAACTCCAAAATGAAACAAACACAGTTTAGAGCAAGGTGCTCAATTTATTTTTGATTCCTTTTTAGTTATTCAAGCAAAGAGCTTGAAACATTCATAAAAGCAACTCCATTGCCTGCTTACCTCATTGCTCAACCACAACTGTTCTAAAATTCCCGATGAATGGGATAGGGGCCGCTTCGCGGCCCAGGTGCCCAATAAAATCAAAACACTAGGACTAGGACTCACGGTGTCCCGCGAGGCGACAGCAAAATGCAACGTTTGCTTTGGCCTAAAATTGTAATTTACATTCCATTTAACTACCACTGGGGTAAATCATTCTCGGATGGATTAAAAGTTGGCAGGTATGCAATTTTCTATTCAATTTGATAATGTTCATTTCGAAAGTAAATTATAAGTTAACAAAAATGGCATAAATTTGCTGAGCAAATACTAAGAATTAAATGAATTACCCATTTTTTTCTTTTTGAAAAAAGGGCGTAATTTTGAAATAGAAGTGGAACTTAATATTGCGTTAAATGAAATATTTATCTCAGGAGTTTATTTGAAAACTATACGTCAATTTATTAATCCGCTGAACTAATAATTATATTTTATGAACTATGTTACAAATAAACGAAACAAAATCTCTTTTTGGCATAGTTATTTATAATTCAGTGTTTTTGAAAACTGAAACTATTATTCATCGTGAATACCTAGTGAAAAGTATGTATTTTTCATTTTTGCAGCAATGTTATTTTAACAAAAATATCACCTCTTACAAGAAAGCTTTAACACGTTGAATGCCACGCTAATTTTACATGGCTTGCACGTCTGGTCACACGGTAACAAACTAAATTTGAAAATATAGACAGATTTTGCTAGTCTATAAAATGTTTAGCATTACATATTGAAGAAAAGTGGTGAATTATATATGTCTACGAATTATTTAAACATAGTGGTGGATAAAAATCTACCAATTTGAATTTATTAAACCAAAAATTAAGTAAATTTTGAATAAATTTTCTGCAATTCCATAAAAGAATGTGAATTTTATAGTTCTATATCATGTTATACGCTGTCAACCAGCTGTTTTTCGCAGCCTATGTGAAAGGTCAGTGTCATCAAGCTGTGGCAGACGCAGCCTAAATGTTATTTCAGTGTCAGCCACCGGTGGTTGACGCTGCCTTAATGTAATTTCAGGGTCAGCCACCGTTTGCTGACGCGGGGCTCAACATGTTAACTAACATCTACAAGCAGAATTTATAGCGATATTATCACCAAAGTGTATTTTACAATCACCACCAATGGGTTTTTGGAGCATCACATCAACAAGCGGAATTTTTTGAGATATTATTACCAAAGAATATTAGCAATCATCATCAAAGGGTATTTACAAAGGGAATTTCCCGGAACTTTCTGATTATTTAGAACTATCTAAATTTAACTGGAGCTTTGTGGGGGATGACATTCAATCATTTTCTGATCACTGCAAGCAAAATTTATTGTCATATTAAGAACAAAATTAAGTTATTGACAATCGGAATTTCAATTACTTTCCGACTACCAATAGAATTCAACACTTTTAACTAGAGCTCTGTTCTGATTGAAAATTCAACTTTCAATCTCTTAATGTCTACTGCAAACTGTATTGTCGTTTTAGCGACGAAAGAAACTCATAATGAATTCAATTTTTAGCCATTTTCTGATTAATTAGATTTCAAAGCCAAACTGAATTTTTCTGATGGATGACAAGGGAAAATTTACGCTACAAGAGAGCTACAGACATTGCAATCTAACTCTACAAACGCTATAAACACATCCTGAACGCTACACCAAGAAATTTAAGTACCAAATAGAATTTGTCGTAAATCGAATTTCCAACTACTTCTAATAGTTCAAAAACTACGTTTTTTTAAGTAATATAAGAAGGAAATATAATTATATTTTCGTCAGACCTTAAACGAAAAATTGTAGGGTACCTCATTTTCTTAGTAAACTTCACTACCAATATTACCCTCCCAAGTCTTTCGAAAGTGATATGTCTTATGTGTCTTGTTTTATTCGTTTCCAGTAAGCTACAAGGAGTATTTAAAATACCATATAAAATTTGTCAAGAATGTGAACTTCGATCTCTTTTCCTAGTTAATAAACTATGTTTTTCAAATAAACTAAAAGGGAGAAAATAATATCATTTTCCGTCAGATCTGAATCAGAAATGGTCTGTTTCATCATTTTCGTTATGAACTTATATCCCTACCGAAATTACCTCCCTCCCCTGTCTTTCAAAAATGATGAACCTGATGACTTTGGCTTTAAATCTTATCAAAGTGGTACAATTTTCTTTTTTTAAAAAAAATACTTGCAACACGCATATCTTAAAAAAAATATTTTTATTATTTTCTTCCAGTGGAACATGGTATGTGATCACAGTCATTATTCCAGTTTGGTGATGACTTTAACAAATGTTGGCAGCATTATAGGAACTCCTTTTTATGGAACTCTATCTGACAAGTAAGTCTATTTTTTATGTAAATAGCAAGTTGAAAATGCAGTCTGACCTAGACTTAACGAAGTCGCTAAATCCCGATAAAAAGTTCCTTATATGGAAAATCATCATTTGAAATACTTAAACAATACAAAACAGGTTTTAAATTCATAACCACGAGACATAATTAAAATAGCAATTGATACACCTTTATCTTGTAAATTATTATCTACTATCGAATTGCTTAAAATAATTTTAACATTTCATTGTTTGGGTGATTTCTTCATGTTCTTCGTCTTCCTCACAACTTATTGCTGTATTGTTTTTATCTTTCACGCTGTCCCGAAATATCCGATTTAGTTAGTGTTTTTGTGGTTGCAGCTTCAGAATCAATGAAGAGAAAATCATTAATCAGTACGGCATCGTTAGTTTCGTGGTTCTCTCATAGCTGTACCCACATTTTTTTTTTAAATTCTTTTAAAGGAATGTCATTCTCGTCCTCCGCACCTTCCAAATTCTCCGTGCTGATTAAGAATCCAGCTTTAGCAAAGCTGCTACGAATAGTACGATCTGTAACATCATAGTTCCAGGCTTTGGAAATTTCTGTTATGCTTTCTCGTAGATTGATTTTTGGCATGTATTCTTGTATGAAATGCAAACAAAAAGAGGAAGGGATTTTACAGCTTTCTCTAAGGTTGAGTGGCTGTGAAAATCAATTCAAGGTCATATCCCCCATAAAATGAGTTAACAAATTTTGAAATGTTCTGAAATATTTCGGGAAATAGGGAAAGTATATCTCAAGCAAAGTTCGTTAAATAGAAAACTCACTTCACTATTTAGAAGTTATTTTACGAAGAAATGTTCTTGGTTCCTTCCAAAATTGGATTTCAATTGAAACATTTGGTTTTGGAACTTGATTTAAAATATTTTCTTCATGTGGACGTATCAATAATTCAAATATGTATAAAAATGTTTCATTGTCTTTCATATAAATAATTTTGAACATTCTGAATTGTTGCTTCATTACTACATTAAATAATGCACAGAACTACAACGCAAGCATTAACAATTGTAGGAAAACATATGAAACTCAAAAACTTTTTTTTTTTCAATTTTAAGAAGAAAATTGTTACGTTATTTTCTGCGTGTAACAGCTATTTTAGAATGTTTATTTGTCGAATGCTCAAAATCATTATTAAAAAGGAATTTTTTGTTCAGATCTAAAATCTTGTTACAGCAGCGGTTCCCAATGTTTTTTTTTTTTTTTGGCAACCGAATCTTAAATGATCGATCTTCTTTTAAAGGAATCCTGAGACTTGATGAATAAATTATATTAGCAATTATGAATATATTAATCAAAGTATGATCATAATTTTGATTATTCTTTATGTAATTACTGTATATTTATCCTCATATTAATGATTATAATTATTTTGAAAAATACTTAATGATTGGAATTTCATCAATTATTTCGGAAATATTTAATAAATGTTTGAAGTAAAAAAAAATTTCATTTTATTTTATGAATGCTAGTCTTAAAATTCGGTTTCATGAGGGAAAAAAGGAATAATTTTATTTTTATTTATAAAGGAATAATTTAATTATCATAATTTTATTTTAGTGTGGGCATAAACTGAAAATAAACGTATTGAAATAAAAACGAAAAATGGCGAAAATAAATGCCGAGAATGTTTATCAGACGCACATATTTCTTCATTGTTATTTTTATTTTATTTGAAATACTTATGCAATTTTTCATAAATGCGTGACTTTTTCTTTATTCATTCAATATATTGCTTTTATGAAAGATATCTTATATTTGTCAATTGTATTTTATCAATACTAGTCTTAAAATTGGGTTTTATGTGAGAAAGTTGAATTTACAGGTTTGGAGCGACATCTGTCTACTTCATAATTTTATTTTAGAGTGTGCATAAAGAGAAAATAAACGTATTGAAATAAGGTTTCGTTGAAATAAAAACGAAAAATGGCGAAAATAAATGCCGTGAATGTTTATCAGAGGCACATATTTCTTCATTTGTTATTTTTATTTCAATTGAAATACTGATGCAATTTTTCATAAATGCTTGTCATTCAAATTTATTCATTCAATATATTGCTTTTATGAAAGATATCTTATATTTGTCAATTGTATTTTATCAATACTAGTCTTAAAATTGGGTTTTATGTGAGAAAATTGAATTTANTACTTTATATACATAAATACTTCTACCATCACCATGTATTGTCATAAACTTAATTTTAGCTTTCCAGTTAAAGAATAAAAATTTCATGATATTTGTTTTGATTCTAAGTTTTACAGTAGCAATAAATTTTTTAGTCATAAAGCACTAAATATGGAAAATTAAACAATGTTTAGGATGCAACTGACAAAAATCAGTATAAGCCTCTCTTAGAAACATTGTTAGATAGTTCTTTCGTTTTATTGCCCGTTTTTCCCCGTAATAATCCAGAGAACCAGCTCTTGTTTCAATACAAGCATAGTATAAACAATCTAACTTTTGAAGAAAATCCATTTATTAATAATTAAGTTCATCTGAAATACTTAGTGGTGAACCTTTTACATCATTATCAATCTGTTTTGAAAGTTCAAGTCTAACTTTCATTATTTCCTTATTTTCTTTCCTTTGAAGTGCAGAATCTTATGCTCTTTTCTTTTTTTCTTCATCTTCTTATTCTTTTAAATCCAGATAAGGACACTATTTTAAGCTTATCCATTTTATAATAATCTAGCAAATGCAGTCGAAATATTCTACTTAAACATAAACGTATAACAAATAGAAGTTTGGGAAAACAATTTCCAAAAGTTTCAAAATTATCGTCTTATTATGCTGTTTTTTTATTAATGCTTATGCCGACCTGATTTTACAAAAAAACCACAATCTTACAATCCCGTATTTGTGGCATTGAAGTTGCGCGGCGGTTATAAAAAATGTCCGAACATGATTCAAATTTTTTTATTGAAAATAAATAAAAAATTAAAGTGTATAAGTACCTCTAACACACATAACAGTAACACGCGTAACTTTTCGTTACGTGTGTTACCTTGAATAAAATTAATTATTAAATTTTAACTATTGGCACTTTTAACTCGAGAATTTTTTCCGTTGCATATCCTGCCTTCTTAATTTATAAAACAAAAAATTTTTAAATAATCTTTTTTACTGAAGTTTTTACAGAAAAAAATGCAAAATTATGTTACGTGTGTTACTGGGAAAATGAGACTATCTTGATTAATCAACTTTTAATCAAGTAAAAAAATTTAGGCCAAATTAAAAAAATACATTAAACAATAATAAAAGAATAAAATAGTTATATTTATTACTAAAAACTATTTTATTGCTCTTTAATATTTTAAGAACTCCATTAGAATATAACATAACAAAGTAGAAAACTGTTAAAATTCAGAGTGTTCCACCTTTTGTTAGAATTTACATAAATATTTTTTATAATTCAAAAAACCATCTTAACTATTAAAAAATGTACATCTTCTAGATTCCGAAACTGTGTCATTTTAGCTTTTACGATAATTTTGAAAATTTAGTCACTCAGGACCACTTTATGTGGAATCGCCCACAAACTAAATTTGAAAATAGAGAGATTTTGCTAGTTTATAAAATGTTTAGCATTACAATATGAAGAATAGTGGGGAATTATACGTGTTGAATTATATATGTCTACGAATTATTTAAACACAGTGGTGGATAAAAATCTACCAATTTGAATTTATTAAACCAAAAATGAAGTACATTTTGAATAAATTTTCTGGATTTCCATAAAAGAGTGTGAATTTTATAGTTCTATATCATGTTGTACGCTGTCAACCAGCTGTTTTTCGCAGCCTATGTGAAAGGTCAGTGTCATCAAGCTGTGGCAGACGCAGGCTAAATATTATTTCAGTGTCAGCCATCAGTGGTAGACGCTGCCTTAATGTAATTTCAGTGTCAGCCACCGGTGGTTGACGCGGCCTTAATGTAATTTCAGTGTCAGCCACCGTTGGCTGACGCGGCGCTCAACATGTCAACTAACATCTACAAGCAGAATTTATAGCGATATTATCACCAAAGTGTATTTACAATCACCACCAATGGGTTTTTAGAACATCACATCTACAAGCGGAATTTTTTTGCGATATTATCACCAAAGAATATTAACAATCACCATCAAAGGGTATTTACAAAGGGAATTTCCCGGAACTTTCTGATTGTTTAGAACTCTCTAAATTTAACTGGAGCTTTGTGCAGGATGACATTCAATCATTTTCTGATCACTGCAAGCAAAATTTATTGTCATATTAGGAATAAAAAAAAGTTATTGACAATCAGAATTTCAATTACTCTCCGACTACCAATAGAATTCAACACTTTTAACTGGAGCTCTGTTCTGGTTGAAAATGCAACTTTCAATCTCTTAATGTCTACTGCAAACTGTATTGTCGTTTTAGCGACGAAAGAAACTCATCATGAATTCAATTTTCAGCCATTTTTTGATTAACACGTTGAGCGCCGCTTCAACCACCGGTGGCTGACACTGAAATTACATTTAGGCCACGTCAACCACCGGTGGCCGACACTGAAATTACATTTAGGCCGTGTCAACCACCGGTGGCTGACACTGGAATTATATTTGGGCCACGTCAATCACCGGTGACTGACACTGAAATTACATTTAGGCTGCGTCAATCACCGGTGGCTGACACTGAAATTACATTTAGGCTGAGCCTGCACCACTTGCTGACACTAACCTTTCACATAGGCCGCAAAAAACAGCTGGCTGACAGCGTATAAGATGATATAGAACTATAAAATTTACACTCTTTCATGGAATTGCAGAAAATTTATTCAAAATTTACTTAATTATTGTGATAGTTGGTTTAATAAATTCAATATAGTAGATTTTTATCCAAAACTATTTTTAAACAATTTGTAGGCATATATAATTCACCAATTTTTTTCAGATATGCCATGCTAAACCTTTTATAAACTAGCAAAATCTGTCTATATTT